CTGCATGCAGCCTGTGCCACCAGCTGAACCCAATAACAGTTCCCATAGCTACTACTGTCTGATAAGAACGAACACCTCCAACACTTCGGATGAGGCCTCTTGCCTGCTTTTCTCCACAGAAGGAAAGATGGTAGAAGAGAAAATGCATCTGTTGCTCTGAGTCAAGGAAATAGTTACATTACTCATCTCTGTCAGCCTTAGCGTTGGGGGAATGGCAAGTGCAAACACCAGGAAATCCATGCTCAGGGCTCTCTCTCCACGCCCTTCCTGCATTTGCTCTCACGTAATCCCAGACCTCACTAAGCTATTCATTGAACAAATATGAAGCCCTCATGCTGTGTAAGACCCTGTGGAAGTTACGGGAGGGGGAGCAGAGCATATGAAGATGGGGAAGATCAGGCACTGCCTTCAAAGGAACCTACAATCCGGAAAGGAAGCTACCACCGTACACAAGCCATTTGAGTTCAGTGCAAAAGACGCACAACTTGAACAGCTTTTGGAGTTCAGGAAAAGAGTTCTGTCACAGCAAGGCTGCTGCCCAGGAGCTCCATTTCCTGCTAGGAGCTTTTCAGTGACAGGTGCACACAACCGTCTGTGCTGACAGCGCCAGCACAGGTGGCCTCGCCTGCAAATATTTGCTTTCCCATTAATCCAATTTGGAGAGGCAAAAGCAAAGACGTAAAGGCTGCTTCTCCATGTCACATGGAGACCAGAAGACAAGCGCAGCTGTACAGACAGGACTGCCGCCTGAGAACCCCGAGGAGTCACGAAGGCCGCTGGTGGGAATTGCAACATCTACCGTGATGCTGTGAGATTGCAAGCGGAGGAGCCTTTGGCAGTGCAGTTTCCTAATGGGAGAGTCTCTGTCTTTATTCCTCAGCAGGAATGCAGTTTATGAAAACCCTACAAATCTGCAGTGTTCAGCTTGCCCTCATATGGAGCGTGTGTTACACCCACTACTCTTCATAAGACAATATTACGTAACAACTGCAGATCACTGCCCACCCCACTCATCACCACACGTTTACAGAGGCTCATCTTTCATTGGATGGACTACATTGAATAATAATAATAATGAATAATAATAACAATAATAATAATAAACAAACTTGTTAATTTTACTTTACAATATAGGAACTTACTGTGAGTAAATTGTACAGTGAATCCTGTATTCTCATTACTGTCAGCTACCAAACGGAAGATAATTTTCTGCAGGAGACCAATACAAGCATGATCACTAGCTCCATAAACTGATTCATTACAGAAATAAGCATTTTCCTGTTTATAACAGGGGTTGGCATACTTTTTCTTAAAGGGCAAGATGGTAAACATGTTCAGCTTGCAGATGTATAGTCTGTTTCAGCTACACAACTCGGCCATTATGGCCCCAAAGCAGCGGCAGGCAATCTGACAAACTGGCAGGGCTGTGCTGCAATAAAGCTTTATTTACAAAAACAAACATCTGGTCTGGGGACCACAGTTTGCCAACCCCTGGTTTAAATAGTTGTTGACCTTCAAAAAAAATTAGCTTATTTCATATCATATATTGTGAATTACATGCAAATTAATTTCCTACTAATCCTATCTTTTTAAAAGCCCTTTGGAAGGTGTATTCCCTCTTTTCTAAGCGATACATTCTTTATTGAGTAATTAACCACTTCTTGAGTTTTTTCTGATTGAAATATATATTATCTCACATGTGTGCCATGAGGCACACAATTACTTGAACTACCACTACCAGGTGCAGGGCACCTATACAATGCATTCAGGTTTTGTATCCTCAGGGCAAAAGCGCTCATTATCTGAAAGCTGGTCGCCACCATGAGGAGCTGGTGTGGAGAGAGGCCCTTCTGGACTGACAGGTCAGGGCCCCGTCTTCGGAGAGGCGTCTGTGTGCGGAAGCCAGGGCTCTCTGGAGAGCAGTGGTGACCCACTGGTTTGAGGCTGCAGCGCTCAGCACACCAGAAGGCCTCGGGCCAGAGGAACTCAAAGGTCACAACCAACTTGGGGACGCTTCCACTTCCAGGAGCCACTAACGAGTGTTCGCCACCCACTGGGGTCACCCCGGGTGAAAGAATGTTTGTCTTGGATCTCATCCTTGAAAACTGTGTGTCACGCCTTGGAAGAGAAACCGCACCAGGAATTGGTATATGGAGAACACACAGGCCCACTGGAATTTTTAGAGAGATGCTTAATCATCCTTCTCAGACTAAAATAATAATAATAATAATTAGAGCTAAGATCAAGGCTTTTAGAGGCCTATGCCTGTAGATCTCTAATGATTTTCTTACTGTTTGGATTCCAGAAGAAATAGAAGACCTTGAGGTCTGTTTACAACCAGAAAGGACCTGCAGGTACTCGAGGAGGCTGACCTTGAGCTGTGAGCTCACGGACATGGGCCTAAGCACACAGAAGAACAGATATCTTATAAACTAAGTGGTCACTATCTACTTCCCTCTGATGATGGCTCAGCAGGTTGCTGGGAACTGGAGGAGGAAAAGTTAAGACCCAATATTTATCTTATAAGGAATCTTATCTCCCACAATGACACGTGCAAGCAGGGCCGTGTGTAAGAAAGCACAGACACTGGAAACGCCGCAGGTGTTCTCTGGAAAATGTCACTGCCAAGTCCATATTTTAAGACAACTGAGCACTGTTGTCTGAATTACCAACAGTATGCATTATCCGTGCTTCACTTTGCAAGCTTTGCACTGCCGGTATCCTCTTTACACACTTCCTGGTCTGGTCAGTTAGAGACTCAGGAAAGCTGTTCTCTCTATACCTCCGTTCTTCCCTGTATAAAGCGCATAATTCTATCTGCCTCCTGCTACTTCAGAGACGTGTGGAAGGGGGATAAACAGTATCTGTAGGATGTGGGGCATTATCTGGGGATTAGTGCTGCTTGTGACTCAGGAAGGGCTGCCCCAGTGTGGGTGCAAGAGAGAGCCAACAGAAACACTGCCTCCTTAGAAGGGTCATAGCGTCTGTGCTTACTGACTGCATCCTTGTGGAATTGTTTATAAACAGTGGACTGTCAAGAATTCAATGTCAGCTTCAGTGTCAGCACCCAGCGTCAGCGTGGCTCTCTAATGCAGGTCAAAGCTCAAGTTCTCTGCAACAAATACATGCTGCACATTCCCGCTAAGATGCCATCCCTGCACAGACACGCTTCTCTTTTGTGCTTATTTTAGCTGTGTTGTCAGCTAACGAGATCCTTAGGGTTGAAACATCTGATAAAAAAGAATGCTTCACGCTGAGCGATCCTCTGGCTCTTCTGGAGGCAGCGATGGGTCACAGGCAGGCGTGGGGCAGCTGAAGGACCAACGGGATGCCATAGTGATGACAACAGAGATGTCCTGTGACACGTCCCAAGACCAGACCATGACGCCAGTGCCGTGACCTGAAGCTAAGGTTCGTAGAGGGCTTGTGGGAGAGACTGTATTTATAGTAATAGGCGAGCGAAGTTTCTCCGCCTGTTTACCTGGGCCTCTCTCTTTCATAAAGGCCGGCTGAAGGGCATGGAGGTGCTCCATGGTAGCCGAAAAATGGTTAAGATATTGGGGAAACCTGGCTTCTCTTCTTTTTTGCATATTTTTTGTGTAGGCTATAAGGATGTATAAGATACAACCCCTATTCTTACAGACAGCACAGTGTATTAAGAAGGAAGAGAGGGCACACAAAAGTCTCCATTAGGTTGAAACAAATGACAGTGATACTAAGATGCAAAATAGTTAAGACAGGAAATTTCATATTCAATTCTAATACTTGTTGGAATAAAATAAAAGCCATGAGAGGAGAATACAAATAAACACCCCAGGGCCAGACACTATTCTCATTACTTTAAACATATCAACACTTGTAATTTCATAATGACTGTATGAGTTAGGTACTATTAGCATCTCTATTTTACAGATAACAAAGCAAAACAGAGCAGAACCCAGGTGCAGAGAGGTTGTGAAGCTCAGGGGAGATGCCACAGCGTGCTGGGAGCATCTGGGACTAACCCAGCTGGCTTGCCGGGGGCTGTGCTCCTCCTGAGCTGTGAGAACTCTCCCCGGGAGCGAGAAAGAAGGGGTGACGACTCTCCCTTGTGCAGGGAGGTGAGTGCTGTGTGATACACCACACAGGAAGGATAATTAGCTAGTATTCTTGCTTATCACCGAGAACATTAACAGATGCCAAATGACTGGCAGGAGTGTCTTCACCACATCCGCCACTCCGCAGCCTGTAGTTGCACAAGGCTCAATGCTCAGCTCCTCGGACCCCATGATGTGACGAAGACAATGGCTTGGGGAATCGCTGCGGCTTTGGGGGAGTCTGCAGGGCAATGCATTATGTTTGTGCGCGGGGAGGGTTCCAATGCGGGATGGAGCACGCACCCTCAGCAAAACATTTTTCACGAATTCCTTCTCACTTCCTTCCGGAAAGTAAGCTGAGTGAAGTTGGATATACCAGCTGGGAAAACCCAGACCTAACCAAACAGCCACCCCTCTCAACCCCTCACGTTAACGAGGGAGCAGACCAACTCGTCAGACGCTCTAACTTGGGGGGTTGTACAGTTTGTGTTCTGGCACGATTGACAAGCCCATTAGAGAAATGAAGAAGTAGCCTCACAGAGAAGTTGACAGAGACATTCTGACAAAGAATCTTTTAGTTTGCCTGTGCAATTCCAGTCATTCATTCATCCAGTTACTGTATCCCAAATAAAAATAGGGAGAGGACAGTAGCTTGAATTAGCAGGGGTGGGGAACGTCCGGCCCGCGGGCCATATAAGGCCCTTGAAATCATTTGGTCTGGCCCTGCCAAGGCAGTAGGGGTGAGTTAATTGAATGTTTGAGCAAATACAGCAGGCTAATTTTCAAGTTGATAATTCTGTATGGCCCGTAAATGATGTTATAAATATCCAAATGGCACTTGGCAAAAAAAAGGTTCCCCACCCCTGAATTACAGTAAAGCATAGATAATATTGCTGAAGGCGGAAAAAGGACTACAATTCTTACTTGTCAGTGGGCCAGGATTAACTATTTGTAGACTCTGGGATGCTCTGTTGAGGACAGCTGGTATGGCTGCAACAGAACCATTAGTCATCTCTCCAAAAGGGTCTCAGGTGACCCTGTCACCATCTCACTTTCAAATGACAAAAGGTGAGGTGGGCCAACCTCACAATCATCTTTTTCTTTTTTTTTTCAAATTAAAATTATACCTGCTTTCTAAGAAACCCCCTCAGTATCAGAGCAAATGGAAACATTCTGCTCGTAGTCCCCTCTAGACCCGCAGGAACAATGAAAGAAGTCTTCCTATATCATTTGAGTCTTGCTTATGAAAAGGAAGCATATCAATTCTTACATTTTTTAAAAAGTTCCTTCAAAAAACCTTATTCTTAGCCACAAACACGTGAGTGATCCTGGGAGCAGGGAAGGAATGAGGGGAAGCAAAAGTTGGACGAGAAACACTGAACTTTATGATGTGAGATGGGCAGTGAGTCATCTATTATATAAGCAGCTATAATTTTATTGATACTAGTATTAGGTTGCACTTAAAACAGGAAAAATGGAAAATGATCAGGGCGGTTGTCACTGGACTGCTGAACTGGGCTGCTTTGTAAGCATCTCGGCTATAAAGTACGCAACTGCTACCTGGTGAGGAAGGGGGTTCCCCACCCCGATCACGTTATCTGAGGGCGATTCTTAGAGAGGCAATGGGGTCCAGGCCCCCAACGAACACAGAGCTTTAATCACAGCAGGGAAATGATGTCCTTTGGGTCTCAATAGAAACCAACAGTAACAATGCTAAGAAATCTTTCTCTAATACGAAAAAAGGAAGTAGAAGAAAATGAAGATGCATGGGCAGTGAGCGAACCCACTCCCATCCCCCCCTGGTCCATGTTTCAACCTGCTTTTTCACACCTCCCCACCGAGCTCAGCGGGCCTGGAGTTTGTAATATAGAACCTCACGGATGATGTTAAGATCTTTGCTCAGCTGGCATGACTCAGTGGTTGAGCGTTGACCTATGAACCAGGAGGTCATGGTTTGATTCCTGGTCAGGGCACATGCCTGGGTTGAAGGCTCAATCCCCAGTATGGAGTGTGCAGGAGGCAGCTGATCAATGACTCTCTCATCATTGATGTTTCTATCTCTCTCTCTTTTCATCTCTGAAATCAATAAAAATATATTTAAATAAAAGATCCTTTTGTTCAACACCACAGCACTCTAAGCCTTGTAGGTTTCTTCAGTCTGGGCACATCAGTGAGAGTATGTTCCCAAGTCAAGTTAAGCTTTGTGGGCTTGGGTGAATTCACATTTTAAATTCTACAGGACTATCAGTCCTGGAAGTGTTTCTTTTTATTCTCTCTCAAAATTTTACGAGTAGCGTCATATGTAGAAGCTCATTTACTCCCAAATGCAATAATAGATTATGACAAAAAGATAATAAACTACCCCCTGCTTTTAACGTGACCAGAAAGGGAAATTATATCTTAGGACAAGTCCACTCGCTACCTTGGTACCCCGAGTTTAGTATGACCATTATCTAGAACCCACCCCCACCCCAAGTCCTTGCTAACATTGGAGAACACTTTTATTACCCCTTGGGCACTAGAACATAAAATATTTTTGGTCAAGGTCTGGCAACAGTAGACAACTTGCAACCATGAGTGGCCTGTATCACTGACAACTATGCGCTCCTTGAGAAAGTTCCGACGGCTCAAAGGAAGAGGAAAATTAAGTCAATCGTGGCATGGCACACAAGCCCATGTGTCATTTTGGTCAGAGTTATCCAGTAAGGGTGTCTCAGTTTTCAGCTGGAAACGGAGAAAACGAGCAGACACCAGTTTCCAGGCTCGGATCAGCGGTCCGGCTGACAGATTTCTCCAGAATGGTGCCTGAAATGGAATGTGGGGGTCAGTTATGAGGCCCCGGGGGAGCGCGCAGAGCCAAGCCTCAGGCCTGGAAATGCTTGGGGAGCCGGCCGCTGGGCCCCTCGCGAGCCAGGAGTCTGCTTTCCTTGCAGACAGACATCTGGTGCGCTCCCCTTCTTGGTGTCGGTATTTGGTAACATTTTCATGAAGCAAAAATTCTCACTCAGCTAACACCCTGCACAATATGTGCCGAATAAAAACATAAAAGGAGCAGATGACTCCTGGGGAAGGAGCACAGACCCAGGCCAGCACTGGGAAGGTACTGGTTACCAAAGTAAAGCATAATAAACACTATTGTGCCATCTTAGCGATGGAGGTGTCGCGCCCAGCTGTCAGTTTTAGTGAGTGTCAACGCTGTCCTTAATATCTAGAAAGGCTGGGCAGTGAGGGAGACACTAACCAGGGGTGACAATAAGCCGAAGATCCTGACTCCAATCCATTACAGAGAGGCTCGGACATGTGGGTGCTATAAATGAGATGGCTACAGCCCCTGGCCTCCGGAGCCCAGTTTCTGGGCAGGGAACTTTAAAGGAAGGAGTGGTCCTGGACAAGCTTGAGAGGGGGCTGAACTTGAGATAAACAGGCAGTGAAGAGGAAGAGAAAGGGAAGTTGGAGCCCAGGGAAGCACTGCACAAACAGAAGACGTAAGACGGCCTGGGTATGCGAGGGGCTTTGGTCTTTCGGGGGAGTGCAGTACAGCTGATCTGGGATGTGTGGAGTGGGGAGAAGTCAGGGTAGTGGCGGAGCCATAACAGCGGCAATGACAATGAAAATGACAAGACTCTAACATTTACTAAGCACTTACTATTTTGTCTAGCTAGTATTCTGCAGGTGCTAACTGATTAAACCTTACATGCAGACACCGTTACTGTCCCCATTTTACAGATAGACACACCAAGGTCCAGATATGCGCCATAGTTGGGAAGTGGAGTACAAGGTTGGACATAACTGCTTTTCATTAAGGACAAGAGCAGAGGTGTCAACACCAGGCGGTGGGCAGTGAGCTAGCCTCTGTGCCACGTGACAGCAGGGGCCCAGTGTCATCACAGCCGTGCTCAGAGGAGCGCCAGAATCGCAGGCTGGCTGAGCTGACATCAATACGAGGTAGGCCAGTCAGGAGCATAGGACTGAGACCAGAAGACCAGAGTACTGGAAGGTCAGGCTGAGGTGTGGGGAGGAGAGAAGGGTCTCTCCCTTTATAATGTGGTTTTAGATGTTCTTAATACCTGAGAGTTCATTCATTAAAGCAACAGAGCCAGAGTGATTTAACAGTCCAAAGCTCAGATGGTGACTCACAGGTGGTACGCTGGACCTGGTACCGCTTTCCAACTCTGCGTTCAGTGATGTCACGCCATTAACTTGAAATCAGCCATAGGGGGAATATTTACGCCATGATAATTGGCAAATGCTACAAATCAAGGCTCTCCACCACTGAAGCCTGTGGAAATTCCACCTGCCCTTCAAAATCAGTTTGAGTGTCTTCTCCTCCATGAAGTATTTTTTATATTCTCCCAGTTGAAATCCATCTCTCTATCCTTTGTGCTTTCAGAACACTTTTTCTTAATACCTGGACCCGGGCACATAGGATTCCTTGCCTAGTACCTTAGTTATCTGACTTGCCCAATGAATGATAAACTTGAAGTTGGAAGACAAAGACCATGTCTCATTCTACTTTGGATCCACCATAGGATTAGCCCAGCCCCTTAAATATATGCTAAATGAATGCTAAATGCATATTCATAAAATTACTGAGTATCTCACTAGGAAGTCTTTCAGGAAGAGCTGTGAGGCATCATGATTTTACTTATATAATTATTTCAAATTTATCATTTTGTGGCCTTTGGAGTCTCAACTTGCACAAAAGAAGATTCTAAAGTGCATCATCAGCTCGATGACAAGTGTTCTCCTGGGACATTGATGCTCAAACTTGAGGCAAAGACAGCATCTTTTACCACATTTTCATGGTAGTTGGCCCCTTAAAAGTGTTTGGTGAAGGAAAGAAACAATGAAAATAAGATTGTTTCATTTCCTTACCCACTTCCTGTCACCCGGAAGGATGCATTTGCCCGGATCTGATCACAGCAGAGAGCCACCTTGTTGATTTCGAGGTATACCACCCTTGTCGCCCATGTACTGGGCTGAGACTGGTTGAGACTGGTAGTAGTGACTTGTAAGTCCTGCGAATTGGTTGCTTTGGCCAATTCATGAGTCTCCTTGCTGAGACCAGGCAGTGTTTCAGAAGCATGGCGTGTCAAATGTGTCCTAAGAAAGCACACGCTTTGCCAGAGGTTTGGAGGTGTGTCTTCCCCTCCCGGGGCAAAGGCATCTTCTATAAACAGGTTGGTCTAGGCTCCTGCCACTCAGCCTCTCGTTTCTTTCCAAGCTCCACTCATCAGTTCTCATGTAATGTTTCTTGAACAAAATCCTGTTCTCTCGGTCAGTAGGTATCTGAGAGGCAGAGAAAGTGGCCATCAGTCGAAGATGCAATGTGTGAGCAGCTCTGATGTGCCAGACGCTGTCCTAGATGCCAGGAACACAGAGGCGAAGAGAGGCCTTTCTGGGCCCACGTTCTGGGGTGTGTGCAGGCACCGTCAACAGATAAGCAAACAGGCAGCGCAGGTAGCAGAGTGGAGCAGTAAGATGTGGGTGCGTGGCTACTGTGGCCCTGCAAGCAGAATGGAAAAATACAGGCCCGAAGGTGGGCCTGAGGAATAAGGAGGAGGCTAGTGTCGCAGGAGCGGAGCGGGGAAGGGGACAGGCAAAGGAGCTGAGATTGCAGAGGACCAGGGCCAGGCCTGGCACAGTTCAGCAGGCCAGGGTAAGGCCCTGTGGAGTGTTTACCACGTCAGCTTCCATGAAAGGAACCCTATTGAGTTGCAGCTGCTATTGCTGCCAGACCTGTCTCATTGCAGCGTGTCCTTCCCACTTGAATCCTTCACTGTGATCAATAGTTGGGAACTGGGAGGTGTTGGCACTGGGTCAGGAGGCTGTCTGGTGTATGGTTTTAATTCACTCATTACCTTGATTCCACTGTAGTTGGTCTAGGTCATAGACACAACCCAGAGGGCCATTTGTTGATTAAAGACATAAGTATTGAGCACCCATTATGTGCAAGGCACTACACCAGACACTGGGATATGGTGGTGAAC